GTACACATTCTGATCAAAACACTGATCTAGTGTGCATGATAGGTTGCACATATTGAGAGGGTCTGTGTGAGCATCCCTAGCATGTAAACATTAACTAAGGTGACATTGGGTCTTGTGGGCCGTGCTAGGAGAGGGATTAGTTTCATAATCATTGAGTAAATCCCTAGATTAGAGATTCCCGCACCTTATGTCCTCAAACCCCATATCAAATTATAGCTAGAGGGATTCAATCTTAGGCAACCATCTCATTTCTAGCAGTCTCTCAACCACTTGGTTTTTTGTTTGTTTTGTTCTTAGTTAGGTTAGATTACTTTATCCACCCAAACTTTTGATTGTATTAGATAGTAGTTTGGAGCAAAGTAATAGTAAGCTTAAGGTTCCCTTGGAATACAACCGAGCCACTCTACTACATCTCTAGCTTAGTTATACATGACTTTGTTAGGATTGACTAGTGAGTGTGCTTCAACCTTACAAATATTAAAGCTCTCACCAAGGCTTAAAAAGTTCAGTGAATATGCATCAATTGGATATAAAATAGGAGTTCAAACGAGTTAGAGTATCATACAATCAACAATTCAACAATCAAGACTAGGGTTCCTCATACCCAAGTGAGAAGGGAGCCTACTCCATAGAGAAAGAAGGAAATACAGATGAGAAGATGAAAGACCTCATGTAATGATGTAATTTATCTTTCGATCTTTAATTTCCACTTCTAAACTTGATTTTTGAGCTCCAATGATGAGGGAATTACCCCCAAAGTAGCTCCCAGAACTTTCAAAGTTATACTCTCCATAGAGCTCTCCCATTTTCTGTTTTATGCCTACAAACCAAGTTCTCTTTCAGAAATTCGCTGATCCCAATTTTTACTCGACAATGGCAAAGTTATGGATGGAAGTCACGACCTTGACTCTTGGAATTATGGTCGTGACTTTCCAAAACGCTCCATGTGATTTATGTACTTCGAGGGAAGTCACGACTGTGATTCTCTAATGCCTGTCTGTGGCTTTTTTTCTAGAGCCTCTCTATAATGCACGACCTTAACCGTGAGTTACACGACCGTGATTTTGGCTAGCTTGACCTTGATTTTCAGCTTACTTTTTATGGGATTTTCGAGCCTCTCAATAAAGAAAAGTCAGGTTGTGACTTCTCCCTTTTGCTCGCCTTGATCCCTTTTCAATCTCAAAACGCTCCGAAACTCACTCCTAAGCCTCACCCACGTACTAGGATTTTAAATATGACAAAATAGCACAACCTAGTGTAAAATCGACAAAAGAGGGAGCATTTTCAAACTAATTACCAAGAAACAATCATGATACAGAGGGTAAAATATTTATAATTAAGCAAGTATTAATATTTCAAATCATAAAAGTATACAAATTAATATTACAAAGTACAAAAATCGTACTCTTTTTCTATATATAGCATACTAACAACACAAAATACAACTATTTATAATACAAACAACAAAACTTGTATTAGGAGCCAATAATATAAAGCATACTAACAATATCATAGAATGATATAAAATAATATTACAAAGTATACAAACTACACCATAAAAATATATAAATCATACTGACATATTTTTACAATGAATACTAACGATACAAAATATCACTACTAACAATTACAAATCGATAACACTTGTATTACAAATTATTGTTTCTCTGGAGTCTTGTCACACAAAATTGGAAAACGTCCTCGTAATCTGCTTTCCTCCTCTCGGCCGCATTTAGGGATGACTACAAAACCCGAATCCACGGGTACCCACCCGACCCAACCCGGTCAACGCGGGTAAAACCCGTGTTGACGGGTTTTGGGCCGGGTTCGGGTTTAAACCTGCTACACTATTCATCGGGTCGGGTTTGGGTTTAGGTAAACCCGCCCCATGGGTACCCGCCCACACACATATAATTACTTTCCCGATATATTTAATATTCTAAATAATATATCTTCCTTAAACAACTAGTATTCTTTATGTTCGTGGAGACATGTATAATTTGTTCTTTCTAATTGTTTAGAATGAAGTTGATATTATGAAGTGGAGAGTGAAGAAACTTAGTTGACGAGGAAGAAGCTTTTAATTAATCTTATTGTTTATAGATGTTTATCTTTAGTTTTGAACAATTTGTATTGATCATTTGCGGTTTGCTTGTATACTCTAGTTTGATGTTTTTTGTATGAATAATTTGTATGAGAAAATTGATGTTAAACTTTTATTTTGAAATAAACTTGTTATTGTAAATTTTTTACCACAAAAACCCACGGGTACCCATGAACCCGCGGATACCCAACGGGTTGGGTTGGGTTTGAGTTTTTCAAACCCAGCGGGTTTTACCCCGTGTTTTTTTTGGCGGATAAACCCATGGGTTTGGGTTTGGGTTTGACAAAACCCGCCCCAACCCGACCCATTGCCATCCCTAACCGCATTTGCTTTGGCTCTAGGGCTGGAATTTTTTTTTAATTCAAAATATGGTGAAATGAAATTAAAAGTCTTCACTAATTCCCAAGGTTCAAGAAGGCGCTAGACGTAAGGTGAGCGTTGAGACTTTGCCTAGCTTGCCTAGGCGTAGACTAAGCGTGTCTAGGTGTTGGAAGAAAAATAGTTATTCACACTGCATGATGAATAAAATAATAATCTACAATACTTCCTCACTTCAGTTAAAATGATTAATAACTTACTCAACACTTAATGACAAAAACATAACTCACAAATTCATAGAATCATAGCTCGAAAATATGGATAATTGATCATTTCGTAGTTGATGTTAATTTCCTCCTTTAATATTGACTTCCTAGCTCCATCTAGCTATGTTTAGGAGAGACTTAGATGTCTCCTTACTCCATTGAGGTGTTCCAATATCTAAGTAGGCGCGAAACCTCTTGGCGAGGCATTTTCCTATTGCCTTGTGCCTAGACGTGCCTAAACGTAAAATTAAGCGTGCTTTTTTTGTACCATGCTAATTCCTATAATGTTTCCACCATTATTTTCAAAATTTCAGATAAACTTAATATTGTCTTGCTTAGGTTAGGTTTAATTAATCTAAATCTAAAAAATATAATAATCACTTTTTTCATTTACACTTCACCATTTCAAAATTATAGCCTTCCTCCGCATCCACGTCAGCAGCCCTTCCACCAATAAGATTTTTTCTTAACTCCTTTTTACTTTTCATTTTAATTCTTCATAGATTTGACGGTCTAAATTAAAAGAATAGTTTATCTTTACTTTATTTTTTTCTTTGAAGTTTTTCATTAATAATCCAACTAGAATGTGCCAACTAGCACACACTCTCTCTCTTCTTTTTCAATCCCCCTACTATTCTTAATTAATCCTTATTTATTTCGTTTAAAGTCCGAATTTAGATATTTTATGTGATCTACTCAACGATATCCATTTTATATATGTTAAATTTTTTTTAAAAATATGGTCAAAATCATATATTCATGAGTCACGCTCCTATTGGACAATTACTAAATTATATCAATATCATTCGATTCTACCTCTATGAAGTACTCATGTACAACCAAAATTCATGGGACAAATTTCTTATTCTACTGAGTTACTAAACTATATTATTGTTTAATTTTGTACTATCATAATAGCCATACACAATAATTTCATGTGTATTAAAACATTATTGTGAGATATAGACTAAATTATCTTTAAAAAAAATCATTTTCCGGCCTACTGACTGGGGTCAAAGCTAGTAATAGGGTAAGGATAATTAGGTACTTGACACACATCATGTCCAGCGCTTAGCGGGAAAAACGTTTTTACCGTACATATTTGAAAAAGCTGAAGACAAATTGATAGAAAAAAGTGGGAAAACATAAAAAAAAAAGGTTGAAGACGGAGTTACACAAGCAGCAAGCCCCGAGAGGGGAAAAGTTAATCTGCTAACTTGAAAATTTGTTAGCAGATACTAACTGATATCCAAAATAGATGAATTAGTATCCAAGTACTAAAATATCTAGAAAGCACAAACTAGCAAGGTTGTTAAACCGGTTTAAGTCATTGAGCCGGTCAAGCAAGGGGTTTGAGGTTTAATGGTCTGATCGGGGTCCGGCCGGTTTGAGCCGTTTTAGACGTTTTCTAAATATATATACAAATAAGGTAGTAATTAAAGATTTAATGAGTGAAATAAAACTTATCTTACATATATCTATTAAAAACTTATTTTCAACAAAATAAATCTACCTAACCTCCATGATCCACCCACCATTTCCCTTCTTTCGTTCCTCTTCCTCTCTTCCCCCACTCTTCTTCTCCCTCTTTAGGGGTCAGACCGGGGGGCTTTCTGGAGGCCGTTTTGAAGCCCGACTCGGGTCGGACCGGGTCCAACCGGGGGGTTCGATAGGGGTTTAACAACCTTGCAAACTAGTATTCAAAGTTGGCTAACTGATATCCACCATGAATCAACTATTATCCCAAATTCACAAACTAATATCTAAACAACACAGAATAGTATCCATACAGCACATAAATAGTATCCATACAGCACATAAGAGTATCGAGATAACACATAAGAGTATCCATATTGAATACTAATTGGTTGGTTGTGGATATTAGTTGGTATCTGCTATCTGGATACTAGTTTGTGATGTTTTGAATACTAGTCTGTGCTATTTAGATACTCAACAGACTTGGATATTAGTTCATACATTTTGGATATTAGTTAGTATATACTAACGAATTTTCTAGTTAGCAGAATAACTAGGCTGGCCCGAGAGAAGTGAATGCACAAAACTAGAAATTTCCGTTTAATCGACTTCTACTTTCCTTCATTCCCATTCCTGAACTAGCAAGTTTCCGTTTGGTGTTCAGTTCAGACAATATAGACCTGTTAGTAATCGACGTGTGGACTGTCCTGGATTCTGCTATTCCTGCTAGCTGCAACCTGTCGCAGCTTTTACTAAGCTAAAGCCCCTAGGAAAGCAAGCAAGCTTTTTGGTATTTTCACCAGCTGCTTCACTCTCTTCAGACTTCACTGCACCATTGATCACAAGCCAACGGTCTCTTTAAACCGTGCAAGGAAACAGAGAGGTGCTGCAGAACTGATCAACCGATCGCCTCGCAGCAACAACGAGTAGGAAAAGACCAAGAAAATGAGGAAACAGGCAGCGAGGGGTACGACCAAGAGAACTCAAGAGAGCCCAAAAGAGCAGAGAGATGAATTAGGAGGATCTCTCAGGAGATCGGCCAGGCTGCATCCCACTTCAAGTCCTCGCTCTCCTCAACTTCGCTCTAACCCTGCTTCCTTTACAAAGAAACCCAAAATTCAGGTTCTGGTAGCTTATTAATTTCCCTCTTCTCCCTTGTTTTGTGTCAAAATGGAAGATCTTTTCTTTTTGGCGCCTGAAAGTGAAGATATGGAAAATGGGTTTGAAGCCCCTAGGCCCTAACCCAACCCGCTCTTTGTTTCTTAAGAGGGTTTTCTTGTTTGGATGTTTTGGTTGCTGAGAAAAGGAAAATGAGGGAACTTTTGAAGGAGCAGGGTTTTCTGTTTTCTGGTAGTAACTTGGGGCCATTTGTTGATAAGCCATATGAGAATTGAAATCGGGGGACAGCTTCCAAGTGGGATTTTTCAGTTTTGCTTGCTCTCTTCCAAGAATTGAAATCGTGGACCCGTTGAAGTTTCTGCCTTTTGGTGTTGGAATGGGGGTTTAACTGCTGCGTTTTCTTTCTGCAGGGTCACGCTAAGAGCCCTTGGGTTTTTCCAGAGCTATTTCCCAGATCCTCGACAAAGCCCGTGCCCACTCCTTGTTGCAACCTGGGTTTGCATTCTTCTAAAATGGTGGAGAAACCTAGCATAGTTACACACCAAGATGCTGCTGCTAGTGAACCAGCTGATGAAGAAGGCTCCAGCTCCAGCAATTTGTCTCCTGGTAAAAGGAATCAGGCTATAATCGATGACATTATTGCATCGGTAATGAACGCGTGACTTCTAACCCTCTATAAATGTGAAATTTCTTGTTGGGTAGTTGTTGCTTTCCAACTCTTGTTCGGATAGCATAGAAGGTCATCCGATTTACTTGGGATCACCAACTATATCCCTTTAGAAATAGTAATAGTCTCTCTTTGCTCAATGGTATTTAAGGTTCATTGATATGCTTTCCACTTCTATCTTCCATATTTATTGTTAAGTGAGTTGATTGGTGAGAAAGCATTTGTTATGTTACTAAGGCATGACTTCTTTTCTAATGATGCTTGTGCTGTTTCTTGGGGAAAACCCTTCTGTGTGCCTGACTTTTAATGACCAGGGCCTGGCTTCTTTTCTAATAATGCTTTAAAATAGAGAAGAATGTGCTGTAGTGGTAACATGTGTAATTTTTATCTCTCCATATATCAGTATATCATTCCACATGACAACACAAGTAACTCATAGTGTAGGCTGATTAAGTATCTCACCACGTCTAATTGCTATCAATGGAATTATGATTCTGTATTCCAGGTAGGTCCCCAGCTATTTGGATCTAAAAGTCGTGCCATGAGAGGCAAACCTGGTGGGATCTCTTCTTCAACTCTAAGGCTGCCAATTAAAGCAGCGTATAGAAGAGTCAATAACCTATCTGAGAAAGGTCCTACTACTGCCCTGAAAAGGGATTTGCTGCTCGAAGAGACCTCTTCCATCCAAAATGAAGGGTCAAACATAAACTCCAGAAATACTTCACATTCTCGAAGTTTGCACTTTGGAACTGCCTCAGTTGTAGCAGCAGATTCTACTTCTACTCAATGCCAAAGTTTTGGGTTCACTGAACTGGAAAGCATGTGTGATAATGAGGTTGATGGCTTGGATGAGGAGGATCGTCCTGCATTCGTGACGGTGCATGGATACCTGGTAAACGAATCATCTGCTCCGATTCTCCGCTCTATAATCAGCAAATATGGAGACATAGCAGCCAGATACACCCTGACATCATCAGAAAAGCGCTCTCGTGCCTTGGAAAGCGTCTGTGAATGTTTCTATTCATTCAAAGGGAAGAAGCTTCAGGAGCTCAACGAAATGATTATAGAGAAGGCACTTGTTTCCCTGCATAACTTGAGAACAGCGGGCATGGAGGTTAGTTGGCTGTTCCAGAGGCTGGAGCAGATTCTGAAGGCAAAGCAGCTGATGGCACAAGTTCCACAGATGAAAGAAGCTAGGAGTAAATGTGATGAGGTGTTCAAGCAGAAGCAAGCGCAGCTTATGGAGATGGAGAGAAGGAAGGATTTGCGGGAAATCAAGCTACAAGAGCTGCAAAGAGAGATGGAAGAAGTGGAAAGAAAGCTGCAGGAGAAGAAAAGAGAGAAGGAGGAGCTTGAAAGAGAACTGACGGAGGAGGAAAAGCAAGTGGAGTGTGCGAAACTGGAAGCAAACGATGCATATTGTGCGACCAAGCAGGTGGGGAGGAGCATAGCGGATGTCTTCCTTACAATGAAGGCATTTGCTGCTTCTTGTGTCATGGACGGACTTCTTCCATCAGAACTTTGATATTCGTGGGAGACTCAAGAAGTTCGACAATGCTTACTTGAGTTAGTTATATCTTAGTGTTCTGTTTACCTTATTCTGATTATCCGAGGGTCTGTTTACGACTACATTCAGGAACTTATGCAAGGCAACTTGGTCTTGAGAGCAAGATGAAAATCACATCTGCACTTTTGAGGACATTTAAGTGTCGTTTACTTACTGCTCAGTAGGTGGAAATGTATGCCTTTTCTTTTTTACTTTTAATGAGTTCTGAAACTGCAAACTCTTTCCACTTCTCATTTTCATTGCAGGGAACAGTAAGTAAATACTGAAATCTCATTGAACACAATAGTAAATACACATTTGAACCTCCCAGGCAAAACCACACTTTGGGGGGGACACAGTTGAATGGAAGGAAGCAACACCAAAACTAGATTATTAGATAATGAAAATATGACTTCTCATGTTTTGAAATAAATCCATCCAGTTTAGCTACTTCAATTCATCTTCCTGCAGTTCTTCCTTATCTCTCCCTTGGAACCAGTCAATGGGGAGATATTCCCCATCTTGACCATAGACTTAGCAAACTGCTGGAAGAAAAGCTCATTGTTCTCTGCATACTGCTTCACCAACTCCATGGATGCTCCATTCTTTGTCAGGAGGACCTGGTCCGAGCTCAGCAGTCCCTTCGAAGCCAGCAAGTTCTTGAAGTAGCTGTTATCGAACTTGGTCGGAGTCTGGAAGTCCAAGAAGAAGAGGTTCTGGTCACCACCTGATCTCGGGCACCTGGTTCTCAGCTGGGCAGCATAGGATGCATGGAGGCTGTAATCTGGCTGACCGTTGCCCGACTGGTTGTACAGCCTCTGCCTGAAGCTTGTGCACCTTGCATTCCCAATCGTGTGGCTTCCTGTTTGTTTTGTCCAATAAGGTTTCAGAATTCAGAACCATAAAAGTAGCAGAAGAAGGAGAAAAAAGAGTTGGACTTGTTTATTTACCAGACAATGCTACAAGGTCCACAACATTAAGGCCTTGGAGCTTGAACTTTGTCAGGATAGTCTGAAATGTGTTGTTTGGTGCTGGAATGTTGTTGTTGGATCCACTCAGGCTTGCACTTTTGGAATCCCTTCTCCCCAATGGAACTTCCCAGCTAGGTCCTCCAGCCTTGATTGAACAAAGGAAACAAGGTGATCAATGGTGATTTCAAAGGAATCTAATTTATTAGAAGTTCCATTGCAAAATGACAAGATAAAAGAAAAAAAAAACACTCACAAGTACAGTGGAGTCTCTGGCAGCCAGAGCTAGAGCATCAGCGCAAGAAACTTTCTGAGGACATTCCTTCTCTAATGCAGACTTGATCGCGTCGATCACCTCGAACCCTCTGGCAGAGTTGCGGTTTGGGTTCGAGTTCTTCTCGCTGGTTATGCCCGAACCACCATCTAGCAGGATTGAACCATCACATCCCTGGAACAAAACGGAAAGGGGAAAAAAAAAAACGAACTTGAGCAACTGAGGAGTGTGGCCCTGAGTAGTATATATGCTGTCAGCATTTAAGGCTCAAGGGGGAAAGTCTGAAGGAACCTTGACAAAGCAATCGTGGAAGTGCAGCCTGATCAAAGAAGCAGCCATCCGAGGCTCTTTAGCAACTGCCTTGGCCACAATGGAATTGACAATCTCCTGAGCTTTGGGGCAGGAATAGTCATAGAACTGAGGGTACAAGTACCCACCAATGTTCTTCCCGCCAAAGCAAAATGGTGGCATGACTAGAAGAGACATGAAAACAAAGACAAGGCTAACATATCGAGCCATGATTGCTTCTTCTTCTTTCTCTGGTATCAGAAGCCAAAAGATACAGAAGAAGAAGAAGTGAAAAGGTGGCAAGTAAAGGAAGAGCTGCTACGATGGAAGCTTTTGCATGAGCAGGCTATTTATAGATACGAAGCTTTTGACATGGTAAGACACAAAGAGGGAGAGTGGGAGACAGATAATGGAGAGTTGGTAGCTAACTCTGTTTGCCATCTAAAGCTTGAAAAAAGAAAAATAGGAAAACAAGTGTGGGGGATGGAGTTGTTAGCTACCTAGCTATAGTATATTATGAAAAGGTCATATGTGAAGACAAGGGTATTCATTTTTTTGACTTGAGAAACATTCATGAGAGTACAATATTAGTTGAAACAATCAGTGGAAAAGAAGGTGGTCATGTAGCAAAGAAATTTGTGTAGTAAAAGTAAAATGATTGAGCTGAGCCAAAGCTGTCATGTACAGGCTGTGTTTCTCAACAGAACTCATAGATTTGGCTTCTTCAATTACCTATTGCATGATTGGCTTTGACATTTTGATCTTGAAACTTGTTACCTAACTCTGTAGTCAAATCATAGTTTAAGCAATCAAATGATTTGAGTTTGAGTGCACAAGTTTTAAGCTGGGAAAATTGATGAAGGGGTAAAACGGAAGAGGGCTTAACGTTTTTCACCCTCCTACTTTTTACATAAATTAATAATATTTAAAACATAATCCATTTATTTAATGATTTAGTTAAAATCAAATAATATTAGGGATGACAATGAGTTGGGTCGGGGGCGGATAGTGAATATCCATTATCTTATCCAATGTAGTTCGGGTTTACCAATACCCACATAAGAATCAAATAGAAAATCAAAACTATGCCCATGGCCATACCCGTTCGGGTTTCGGGTATCCACAGTTATCCATAGATAATAATTTCTCTATATAACTCAAACCAATATGTTAACATTCACACATATACTCACATTAAATAAGTGAAAAAGTATGGTAATAAATCACTAGAATGAAGAAAATTATTTAAGAACAACATGATTTCATGAAATATTATATTTGTATGTTAAATATCAAATATGTTGAGAAAAATAATAATTATTTATAGACAAAATAAATATTATTATCGAAGACTTGCGTAATATATTTATTTAATTATTATATAAGAAATAACTAACGCTCCATGAATTTTAGAAAATGAATTTTTAATATGTAAATTTTCAATGTGGAATGAATTTGGATTATGAGCATAATATGTTCTTCAACTATGTATTTTTTTTAAACATGCCCCTCTACTATTTTGTACATAAAAAATACTCATGCACATTAGAAACATTATCAAGCATGTCTTTCTGTTAAAATTTTCATAAAAAAAATTGTCAACCACGGTCGAACGATTTTTCAGACAACCTGACCTCATAAAAATGGGAGGGAAAATCAGTTTGCTACTCGATTTATTTCTCCAATTCTCGTTAAATTGAAATTATTAGAAGTATGATGGTATTTAGACATAAATTGACAAAAAATGCCATAGTGTAATTATGATGGTATTTAGACATTTGTGGCACCAAAATCACGGTTAGACCAACGATAATAGTTTTTGAATAAAACTTTAACAGAGAAACATGTTTGATAATATTTTTAAAGTACATGAGTAATTTTAAAGACAATAAATGGACATGTTTGATAAAATACATAGAAGAAGAGGGAGCATATTATATGGAATTTTTATGTATTTGTAAACATTATGGCATGATAGTTATCAATTCAACAAACATAATATGCCTACCGTAATAAATGAATGGATGAAATTTTAAATATAATTAATTTTTGGTATGTCTATGGTGACATGCATGTCACCGTAACTTGCATTTTTAGGTCGACCTCATATAGGATTAGGTCGAGCTAATATGCCGTTTCAGTTTTGTGAGGTTCCCGAATACATTAATGTGGGCACCCTGATGACTTATCACGGTCGACCTTTAAAATGTAGTGGTCGACCGTTTGTAGTTTAAGTTGTCATTGTTGCTCAACCACAATAAAACATCGGTTGTCCTTTTCATTGGCGTCAGAAGCAAAATGGTCGACCGTAAAGGCATATAGGTCGACCACTTGATGGCTGTCATTAACAAAATGGTCGACCATTTACAGAAAGAGGTCGACCAAATAGAAGAGAAGTATTGTATACATTTATCCATCATCATTTGACGTAAAATGAAGATCAAGTGTTGGTTTCGTGGTCGACCTAATCCGGTACGAGATCGACCGAATACAAGAAAATAAACCTATGCTCTGCATCTTTTTTGCTTATGTATGTCGATGTGGGTGGTTCTTTTGCTCGTACAAATTACGTTTCAAACCAACAGAATCAGTCATAAATAATGATAACATGGACTCATAACTTCCACGTGGTCGACCTCTTAAGTCACTTACAACAGCAACCGCAAGGATCTTCTTCACAAAAGCTCTAATCGTAAAAAAAAAAACCCTAATTCAGAGTTTCGGTGGCGGTGAAGGTGACATATATCCGTATTTATAGATATTTAGGACGAGAATGTGTCGAATTAAGTGGTAGATAAGTTAGGGTTCCATTTCTGGTGTTGGAACCCTTATCCAATACAGCAACGGTGTGCATGCGGTCGACCTCGTACTTATGCGATCGACCTTAGTAATCAAAATGGTCGGCCTATGAGGTATTTGGGTCGACCTTTCATTTTGTTCGCTTCCCAAAGAGGTCAACCATTTGCTATAAAAGGTCAACCGCGTCGTTGAACCTCACAAAACTGAAACGACATATTAGGTCGACCTAATCCTATTGAAGGTCGACCTAAAAGTGCATATTAGGTTGACCTAATGCTATATAAGGTCGACCAAAAGAGCAGATTAGGTCGACCTAATCCTATATGAGATCGACCTAAAAATTAAAGTTAGGGTGACATGCATGTCACCGTAGCGAAGTCGTTAATTTTTTACCATCGCGAAGTACGGATAATAAAACTAAACCAAATTATTATCCCGGCAAACAGAAAAATTATTGGGGGAAGGTTAAGAAAACAAGTGACGTAACCCTTAAGAAACAGATTGAATTAGGAGAAGTGGAGACCGGGTAATGTCATGACCAAAACGAACATAACACAGCACAACGGTATTAGTTACGAGCAGGTGACAGAGTCAATCCCGAAGATGAAGATGACAACTTCATTAATAAATGAACAGTTAGAAATGGAGCTGTTAAGTAAAAGTGGGTCTCAGTCTGCGCATCCAGAAGGGTCAAACAATGATGATAGAAGCCAAGTCAAAGACCAGATCATTTTCCTCTAAACAATAAGATTCGAGATTGAGATTTGAGACGAGTCTGGCCACCACGCGGCGTAGGTGTTATCTATGCATGCCAACTCAAGGACAAAGCACTTCGTAGACTAAGTTGGCAATGTCCACACCAATACTCCACCTGCTCTTTTGACAATTTGGACAATCATCTCCAGTCTGCACTGCTTCTGAAAGTGAAACCTTCTCATGTCGTCTTTCTTCCCATACATCCTAATATTCTGAGTTGGTTTCCAAAAGGTGCTTTCTGAAACTGGAAAAAGAGAGCTGGTGAAAATAGAAAATGTTTCTGCAATTTGGTTTCACAAAAACTGATTCCAACTTGTAACAGAGATAAGGTCGGCTAACTGCTCCAAAAGCAGCTCCCTAACCCTTTAACAGCTGCAAAGCTTTTGGGCATCCACATCGTCTCCATTCTCAAACAACCATACCTCGAACATAGCATTAGAACGAGAATGCATTGAATAACCAGCTGATGGATCATGAAAATCAATTAACTTCAGGTGATAACATTCTTTGCTTGCTGAAGAAACTCACAATTCCAAGTTCACAACCGCTTCTAAGTCTAACCACAACAAACTGGTTCTCTTAGCATGCACATTTACCACACTGAAATGATGTAACTTTCCTCGTCTTTCTTGAATCTGGGAAAATATTAGATCGAGCCATATCGGACGTTTCCTGATCTCGAAGATCCTCGAGTTGGAGTGGATGATGATGCTGCTGCCGATCCAGAAACAGAAGGTCGGTCCCACGATGCATCGCTGGTATAGCCGCCATGAACTTCTTCTGTTCGGGAGTAAGAGTAACCATGGCCCATGCCGCTTACCTGTTATTCCACATACTCAAACACTCTGTTAGCAATAATGCATGAAAGAAGGATCACCATTATCTGTGGCAATGAACTGACACTACTTACAGCTTCTAAACATGCAGATAGAATTGTCATTCCTGGCAATGCATCAATTCCATGCTGCATTTGAATGGATCCATGTAAAAAGATATAAATTTTAACGGAACATGAAACCGTGACACAAAACTAAAGAGATTAATGCCGAGCCCTAGGAAGGAGGCCTTACCAGGCGTTCCACGCGTGTCTTGTAAATAAAACCTGCACAGCAGAACAATGTTGCACCGACAAAGAATCTGATCCAAAACCCAGTTTGTTCAAAGATTAATTTCAGTGGGAACAGCAGTTAGATTTAAAAGTTAAGATGAGATAGTGTCCACTGATAGGCTCATAAACAAACTATCTGAACGTGCTCTAAATTTTTTCAGAGACAAAATGGAAAACATACATGCAAGAAAGGATGCCAAATATGACCCATCCTCTCGTCGTGTTTTCTTCTTCATCTTGCCTATGCTCTGCAAAGTTTGGAGACCAAAAGGTTTCGTTGTTAGCAAAACAAGTTGCCTAAGCAAGATACTTCAACGAGAAAAATTATTGACCTGTAAGAGAAAATAGTAGAGCTAACTGCAAAGCTTATTATAGCAGCTTATGTCTTACACCTCACAGCAGACTCAAGGTGACTTAGCGATTATTTGGTAACTAGGGGTTACCCTCCATTAAGAAAAGGAGGGAAAAAGCTAGGTATCGTTTCCTGTGATTCTGAGAATACATGAACCCTGACAATTCATAGCTTTTATTGTCTAAAACTGGTATGAAAACCATGTTTTTTAACCTACGTGTATGTCCAGAATACCTGATATCATGCATTCCAAAACTCTGTAGGCTTTACCAAATATCTCATCAAATACACCCAGTCGTGTGTGAAACATCATTACAATCCTTACAAACCATACACTCAATTATTTTACAATTTAAGTATTCGGAAATCCTATCTACAACCCTTCAAAAGGCTCTAGTAGTTACAGAACAATGAGTGTATGAAAAGTTTTACAATGCTTCATTAGACCTAAAAAATGTCAATTTTTCTTCAGTAACATTTGTAAGGGACTAGTTCTTCTCAACATATGAACAAAGTGGGATAACGAGGATAATGAAAAATGAGATCGAACTTGGCGCGTCATTCTTCAAGAAGAAAAGAAGGATCTTACCACACATTTTTGTGAGGAAAAACTGAATAGGACTGTAACCATCTATGGGTATTGTGACATTCACTTCATATGGTATAATGCGACCCTTCTGACCTTCATAACAAACAAGCTCAAGTTTAGCACAACCCCCAAGTCAAAAATATCAGATGACAGTGGAAGAGAGGTAACGACCATACATTCCCATTCCAGAATCAACATGCTCGGAGACAGAGTCGTTGGAGGAGTACCGCTTGCCCCAGACCCAGACAAGACAACTTCTAGCCCTTTCTGAGGATGAACCTGAAACACAGTTTGAGCAACCATAGTATCTTTATTAGGCCTCCTCGGAACAAAGCAGCTTTTCTTAATTCATTGACCCAAGTTATTACCTCAATCATAGGTTTTGTCACCAATGCAGAAAGGGAAGCAATTGCTGTCATATAGAGGGTAACAACATTTTGGTCCGTGCCAAGGCTGTAAAGTAACATAGACTGTTAGATTTAAGCAAAATCGTCATGAATAGTAAAAAAAGGCAGAAAGAAATGTCATTTAGAAAACACATCAAAGAAATGTATATAGTTTTACCTGAAATCTTGGTGGGGTTTCTCATAACCTGGCTGAGTCAAACCATCGTACACCTGCAAGACCATAATTAACGAACCGGTAAAAACATATCCTACTTCTCATGCAAATAATTATAAAAACGAGAATAAGTTCTCCTACAATTTCCCAGGACCGTGGGTGGAAACCAACAGTGAAACCTTGGAATACACGGGGACCAGGTTTCTCGCATGGAATCGCAAGATCAATCACAACCCTGAAAGAAAAGAGATGCGCATCAGAGAGAGAAAAGAAAAATAAAAGCACTTTAACAAATCACTCAAAAAATGCCACATGAGAATATTGTAATAGCAGCAAACACGTTAAAGCAACTGAATCAGTATCCAATGAAGGATGCAGCATTGGACACCATAAAGCAATTAGTAAACAGTACTTTCCCAGTCATTGTTTAATCTGGAAAATAATAGTTGTCAATTTAACTAATTGCTCAACATAAAATGCCTCATGTTTCAAAGTTGACTTATCTTAGATACCAAGCCCATTGCAGTAATATTGTAACAAAAGATTTTTGAGGGGCAGTTCAACAAGGGTAAGCAATACACATTTCATGCTATTCTGTGAATGGTAGACCTAACAGATACAATCCCATGCATCTTGATGACGCAGGTAGTAACCTGATAACATTTTATGGACTTAAAATTAACTATGCTGCACTGGAAAGGAGACAACATAATGTGAGAATTAACTTCTTTCTTTAAAATATGAAATTCAGAGCAGTGAATGAAGACCTGCAAGTTGACTCATAAGTGAAATTGCATATGCAACCAAGTCCACCTGAGATCAGAAGTGAAGTAAATGTTAGATTCAATAAATGAGAAAAGGAGCAAGTATCTTTACTATGAATGAAGAGGCTAAAAGATTTCCTCAAGCACAGATCAACACTGTATTGAAACTCATACATGAGCATTACTAACCTTGACATGCTCCAGTTAAGCAACCTCCACATAGAAGGTTCACCTGAAACCACAAATCAAAGTAATACCATAAATTCGATAGGAATATCTTTGGGATCTGGATGCACATAGATCTTAACACATCCATGATTGGGATAAAAAGTACTTCTCCCTGAGAAGAGAGCTGTATACAGTTAAAACCGCAATTTACCTGAGCAGTGCGTCCCAGTTTGTCGTAACTATTCTCGCAGTTCACTAGGTCACCGTTGTAAAAATCCTGGACAGAGAGAAAATTATGTGGTTCACAGAATTAACTGGAAGCTATAGCACAATAATATGGCACCCTAATACTAAATACTGTGTAGCACATAACTCAGAAATTAGAGTTACAGTTTCAAATTCACAAAACAAAAATTGAACTCAACAATATTGCTTACTTGAACAAAATCCACTTGTCCTGAACCAGTGTGGAATGAGCTAGGGTTACTGAACCGACCAAAGTCAACATATCCCTGAACAACAATAAGAACTTGGACGGTTGGACCATAATAAACCACATTGGAAAAATTAGGGAATGAAGAGAGGGTGCCCTATCATAAGGCACTTGAAACAGGATGACTTGTTTACCGTTTGTGATCTAGTCTCCACATCTTTGCAAAAGCGAACTACCAAATCAGTATTGTCCTGCATTGTAGAAGCCATACATACAATCAATCTGTCATAATCTGAGGAAACATGAACACTACAGCAGGATCTTTCATATGACTTGACCACTCTCAACCTTAAAAATTCAGCTAATGTCAACTACCTTTGCCTCATGCACGAATGCATGTCCAATCAAGCTGCTCTGACCAATGGATTAAGTAGGAACAATATCAAGGCAGGCTTAATACACAAGTTTGATGACAGAAAAAACAAGAGGTCCCAACCTTGGATGACCTGTATATATTCAGAGGACATATCAAGCATTGGAAACTAAGGATACAAAGTCCACAAGGCGACTAGAATTGTCAAGAGAATAGCAATTCGAGTTTGGTACAGGAACAGCAGTGGAGCCAAGAATCTGTAAAAGTAAAGCTGAAAAGAATCCAGCGAAAGAGATACAGTTAGACAAGGAAACCCAGCAAATAAGGAAGAAAACCAAAAATAAACAAGGTAACAAGCAGCAGCAACAAGAGCCACCCTACTCAATCTTACCTATGAGCAAGATGCATAACCAGCTGAAGGAATCCATGGAACAGTATTGCATGTTGCAACAATCCCACCTGAATGCCTCCAGAACTCCAATTTCAGGCGGCTATAACTCACAAAAAGAGAAGGAAGTAAATGAGAAAGCCATACAAAACCAATCACCATCCCGACTGAAACAAAAAACCCTCAGCGTCGTTCACATTTGAACAAGAAAAGTCAGTGAATCCCAGCACTATTCAGACTTTCCCAATGCAAACAGAAAACAAGAATCTGAGTAAGTTCCACGCACATGAGTTCACCATCCAGACTGAAACCCTCGTGAGTTCGTCGCTACTCTCTGGTGGTTTAAACCCAAACGAATCTGTAAGAAAGACGCAATCTTTGAGACGGGGATCACTACCTAATAGCAACGGAGAGGGAGGAGCAAAGGAAATTTCTCCCCCGCTAAAAAAGTTCAAAACTTGCGGCTTCCCCTAAGCATGGTAATTGGTACTAAACTGCGATGCGCCAAACGAATTTCATTTTCAGGGAAGGATGAGCAGTCATTTACCAAACTAGCCCTGTCGCCCTCGCCTCCCAAATTGAGTTGGGTGGTCTAACAGCACGTGTAGTCACGCGTCCTTTCCCCTACCTTCATTTTCCTTCCTTTTTGGTTATCTCCATTCCATTCTGGCTAGGTACGATCGAAATCTGAGCTTTAGCTGTAATCATTCCCTTGCTTAGAAATCTTTCCATAGCTCTCCTCGTTCTGCCTGGCTATCAGTTCGGGAAATCCATAGTCAAGATTTGACCTTCACAATCATTCGTTCCCCTCTGCTGCAATCAATACTTTATTTACTCCGAACAATCATCTCAACCCTGTTCCCATCTCCAATCCGCAGTTGAAACCCACGACGGAACACATTGGGTAGTCTCTGAAGTTTCAAGCTTGCCTTTTCCCTTTCTGTGGGGAGGAATTTCGTTTGCTTGCAAGTTTTGTGATTGTTTCCGGTTTTCTTTCTCTCCGTTTTCTTGTTTTCTCCGTTTGGGTTTTGGTTTTTCTAGCTATCAAATTAATTACAAGTGGCCACTCCGGGAAAGCCAAATGTACAGAAATCACTGCTCTTCCACCCCATTCCCAACCCTAAAATGCTGCTCCAGATACTCCTGCCCCTAAAGCCTTCTTCTCGCCTCCTCTTCTCCTCCTCTTTTCCACGCTCGGCATCGGCTCTAAAGGCAGAGCCACTGGCAGCAGCTACTCGCCAGCGGACATGGCGAAACACTCCGTCGGTTGGCCGCTTCTGCAGAAGAGATGGCTGCTGGGTCTGTTAATCATGCTTTCCATCTCCACCGTCATCGCTTTCTTTATCAGGTCCGCTTTCGATTCCTGCGATCGTCACTTGGAAGAAGTTGCTCAGGGATCTGCTCGTTCTTCCGGGAATGCACCGGTGCCGGTGAATACGAAGGCGACGCCCCCTAGTCCCCTCAGCTTCATGAGATCCAAGCGTGTACTTTTGGTCTCACATGAGCTTTCCCTTTCTGGTATTGTCTTTCTCTTTCTTTTTTCTACATTGAACATGGAACACAATTTGTCGCTATCCGTTTTTTTTTCCTTTGCCTTTTTTTTGCTTGTTCTTTCCGTGTTTCTAGTGTTCTGATCTCAGTGCAAGTTGAGATTGAATCTCCTAATGGTGTCATAGATACAATTAGTTCACGGAAGTTGATAGGGATTGGATCATTTGTGCTTAATGGGAACTCAGTTTTTGGTGCTAAATGTTAAATGGGAGTAATCTCTCAACCACTCGGCATCCTTAGAGGAAGTTTGAGTACTTAATGGTGGAGCTATGAGTTATTAACACATCTGTGTTCTTTCATTGTGATTTTCCTGGAAGTCTCGCGTTCAAGTTTAGGGGTTTTATCACAATTAGTTGTGCTATTGTACTATCTTGCTCTGCAGGATTCTTCTAGGCTCATAGTGATGGAATGTGTGACTTGAGATAGGAAAAATGTGTCAGCGGGTGTGGTAATGCCGGGAACATATGTGGTCCTCAAAAGGAAACGTTATCATAGTGGCATGGCCATACTTTCGATGCTATCTGGAATTGGTTCAGTTATGGGTGTTATTCTGTGATCTGGAACTTGTTATCGCCTTGAGTAACTACGAAGAAATTGTGTTGACAGACTACTTCTGTTGGGATGTTTCTGATTACTAACACTTCCTCATAATAATGCATTTATTGGTATAATGCATAATGCATTGCAAGATGGAGAAGAGATGCAAGTATGTTGTTTTGCTATGCATGTCAAATCATAGAAGGAAACATCCCAACTGTGCTGTGACCAACTTTTTGTTGATTTTCTCCTTTTCTACACATTTGTAACAAGTTTGACAGCATTCGAGCTGCATAAGGGGGAAAAATTGATTCTTGTACTCTATCTATTTCTCTCATCTAACATTACATCTGCTATGATTTTTAGGTGGGCCATTACTGCTCATGGAACTAGCGTTTCTACTACGGAGTGTTGGTGCTGGAGTTTCTTGGATAACCATCCAAAAACCTCTGCAAACTGATGGGGTTATTTACAATTTGGAGGAGAAAATGTTGGTCCGGGGAGTTCAGGTACAAAGATTTGGTCTTCTAAATTTGCTACATAAGAAATGCACACATACTTCTATACTAACTTGACTTTATTTTCTGTCACTCGTTCTATATACCCTTTAGCACCCACTTTCCATCCTGCTATCTCTTGTTCGTAGGAGATCTGATAAAGGAGCTGGTCATGCTGTTGCCATATTTTTGCAGGTAATATCTGCAAAGGGACAAGAAGCTATAGATGCTTCCCTCAAAGCTGATCTGGTTGTTCTGAATACAGCAGTTGCTGGGAAATGGCTGGATCCTGTTCTTAAGGAAAATCTTTCTCGTGTTCTTCCAAAAGTGTTGTGGTGGATCCATGAGATGCGAGGCCATTACTTTAAATTGGATTTTGTCAAACATCTTCCTTTGGTTGCTGGTGCTATGATTGATTCACATGTCACAGCAGATTACTGGAAGAATCGAACTCAAGTGCGTCTTGGGTAGGTGCAATATTTGTGTGTACGGTATCTTCAGTTTTGTTCCTTTAAAATTTTGTCTTCAGAGCTCACTTTGCATATCTGGAGATTGAAGTCATGTGTTATGCTTGGAACAAGTGAATCTCTAGTGGTCTTGGATAAGCAGTTATGATAAATGTATCAGCTATCCCTACTATTCAGTTTGGGATGCAATCTTCACGCACTATTGGATTTTAGCTATGATGATGTTAATTTAGCTCCTTTACGAATCAGCAACTCCTCTCTTTGCAGAATTAAAATGCCTGAGACGTATGTTGTTCACCTTGGCAATAGCAAGGAACTTATGGAGGTTGCGGAAGATAGTGTGGCAAATAGGGTTTTGCGTGAGCACATCCGGGAGTCTCTTCAAGTTCGAGATGAAGATTTACTGTTTGGCATTATAAACAGTATGACTTTCTAGTAAATTGGGATTTTGAGATGATAAAGATCATTCTTCTTCTGTTGGGAAATAATATATTTCTTTCTTTAAACCTGATCAATGCATTGATTACAGGTGTTTCACGTGGAAAGGGCCAGGATCTATTCCTACGTTCCTTCTATGAGGCGTTACAATTGATCCAGGATAAGAAGTTGCAGGTGCCATCTGTGCATGCTGTAATTGTGGGGAGTGACATGGGTGCACAAACAAAGTTTGAAACAGAATTGCGGAGTTATGTGATGCAGAAAAAGATTCAACACCGTGTTCACTTTGTGAACAAGACTCTCACTGTTGCTCCTTACTTAGCTGCAATTGATGTTCTTGTTCAGAACTCTCAGGTACTTCATCCCATTCGTTGTTTAATCAATTGCAATGTATGTCTGTATCTATCTAGAAATAAGAATGCAGGTCCGTTCAAAGGCCTTCATGTCATGCTTTTTACAGAGCTTGTTCTATTTATTGAGACAGTACAAAAACAATGAAACCATATAAATTTTTTCATTGTCCTCTTCAAAGAAACGGGTCGGATATTCTAATACCAATCTTCATTGCCGTGTCCCATCTTTGCTCCACATATGCAGGCGCGGGGAGAATGCTTTGGAAGGATAACCATTGAAGCCATGGCATTTCAGTTGCCTGTCCTGGTGAGGTTTCTGTCCTCTGTAACAGTCTTCTGATCTGGTTCTAATTGCTTGTTTAGGACTCTCACAGATTTAGGTGCTGACTTCAATCCCTGTTTTTCTAAATCAATCCCCCAGGGAACTGCTGCTGGTGGCACTGCGGAGATAGTTGTGAATGGGACTACTGGTATGCTGCATCCAGTTGGGAAAGAAGGCGTCCCGGCACTTGCCAAAAACATGGTGAAACTCGCCACTCAAGTAGAGAGGAGGCTTACGATGGGGAAGAGAGGCTACGAGCGTGTGAAGGAGAGGTTTCTAGAACATCACATGGCACATCGAATTGCTTTTGTGCTGAAGGATATACTGAGGAAGTCAAAGGATTACCAACATCGTCATACAACTTGAGCCTCGCTGTGTTATTTTTGTGTTCAGAGATCAACACATGCGAGAAGTTTGAGCTGCAGTTTATTGTTCCAGAAGTCCGTTCTCGCAATCAAGGCAGCCTTACAAAGATGACTGAAAGAGAGATTTAACGATAGGGAAAAGATGTAGTTACGGCCCCAATTCTGTTGGCAGAAGTGCTGTAAATTGTGTACATACTAGGATGAGTTTCAGTGTTGGCTCAGACTGGTAAAAAAAAATGTTGCCTCCATAGAATAGCCGAGTTGGCATTGTTGTCTTGAGTATTTTAACTTTCCTGTGTGGTAAATTTGATTCATTTCAGTTGGTATGCCGTTAACTGGCTTGTAGGAGAGATGTTTGTGTATCCGGACTGTGTAAGGATGTTCAAACTTGTGTCTATCATGCAGGATACGTAAGGTTGCTTGATTGTTGAGTCGTATGGGGATGGGGATGGGGATGGGGTTGGGGATGTAAGAGTCAGTCAGTCAGATACGACATACGAGTAAGGCTGCTGGAGTGGATATGGATCTTTGAAATGCACAAATTGATTGCATGGAAGTATAGCAGATGGCAACGGGTGGAGTGGAGTGGAGTCGGGTACGAGTACTGCATATTCGTTATCCTATTCAAAGTAGTTCGGATTTTACCCATATCTATACCCACATAAGAATTGGATAGAAAATTAAAATCATGCTCATACCCGTTCGGTTTTCGGGTATTCACGGTTATCCATGGATAGTAATTTCTCGCTATAACTCTAACCAAAATGTTAACATTCACACGTATATTCACGTTATATAAGAAGAAAAGTACGACAACAAATCACTAGAATGAAGATAATTAATTAAAAACATTACAATTTCATGAAAACATTATATTTATATGCTAAATATAAAATATGTTAAGAAAAATAATGATCATTTCTAGACAAAATACATATTAATGTGTATAATCGGGTCAAATAGTGAAAAAACCATGCCTACCCATTACCCGCAATATTCGGGTTCGGGGTTTACCCATACCCACTAAAAATCATTTGAATTCGGGTTTTACCCTACCCAATTAGGGATATTTTTGACATCCCTAGCAGAGTATTTCATGGTTTGCTTGGTAAAGCAACTACAATTTATTAATAAAAATTATCAATTTTAATAAAACATTTGTCAAATTATTGGGGAAAAGAAAACTAAAAGAGAAGAACATCCGTAAGATAGTGTGGAGAGGGAAAGATTAAGATATATGAAGAAGGGAGGGAATGAAACTTCTTATTATTGCAAACGAGGACCAGGACCAATCTAGTCGGTGGATCGGTACATTTTTCATTTTAAGGTTGTGTGTTGGGTTGGTGCCTGGTGGGGTGTGTGAGTGTGCACCATAGGACTTGTTAAGACTTATCTTAAAATAAAAAAGTTCTCCTTAACCCACATTTTTCTAGCTAACGTTTGTCGATTATGTAAATTCCCCCTTTCGTTATAACTTATATTATATGAGGTTTTTTTCTTCTCTCAAGTATGATTTTCCCCCATTCATCTAATTTTTTTAGCTGTCGATTAGACAAATATCCTTTCCCTGGAACTTACGTTAAAGATTTTTTTTTCCCTTCTTCCACGTTGTTTTTCCTGCTATAGATTAGGCAAGTTTCTCCTTTCTCAACTCATTTTTCTAGCTATCGTTTGTCGATTATGTAAATTCTCCCTTTCGCATAACTTATATTAAATGAGGTTATTTTCTTCTCTCAAGTATGATTTTCCCCTTCATCTACTTTTTTTAGCTGTCGATTAGACAAGTTTCCTTTCGCTAGAACTTACGTTAAAGGTTTTTTTTCCTTCTTTCACTTTGTTTTCCCTGCTAGAGATTAGGTAAGTTTCTCCTTTCTCAACTCATAAGGGGTTATATTAGTGTATATATGTTCTATGGTTGTTTACTGAATGCTCAAGTTCAAAAATCATAACTAATTCATGTCACTAATTAGTCTATGGGTTTTGTCATGACTAGGAGAATCAGTTAATTAGTATCTCAAATGCTAAATAACGACCAAAATCAATCTTAATCTAAAATGTTTCAATACGATATCAATATGCTTTTCCAGCTGTCGATTAGGCAAGTTTCCCATTTCTATAGGACTTACGTTAAATGTTTTTTTTTCTTCTCCTACGTTTTTTTTCCTACTATAAATTAAACAAATTTCTCATTTCTCAATTGGGTTAATACCTTAGTTTGGCCCGAATTATAGACAAACTTTCTACTTTGGCCCTTGGTATCGGAAATTGCTATTCTGGCCTAAACTATGTAGCATACTTTCTTATTTGGCCCGGAGGTGGGTTTGACCGTCAAATTAGACGGTCAACCGAGTTTGCCATTAGTCAAAGTCCACCTCACTTGCCACGTCAGCTATTAGGAAATAAAAAAATATTTTTTTGAATTTTGTTTAATTTCTAAAATTAATTAAAAATAATTTGGAGAGCTCTTTTAATTAATTTTTTTCGTTTATTATTTTTATTTTAGAAAATAAACAAAATTCAAAAAATTCAAAATTCAAAATTTAATTAATTATTCCCTGATAGCTGACGTGGCAAATGAGGTGGACCTTGACTAACGGTCAACTCAGTTGACCGTCTAATTTAACGGTCAAACCCGCCTCCGGGCCAAATAAGAAAGTATGCTACATAGTTTAGGCCAGGATAGCAATTTCTGATACCACGGGCCAATGTAGAAAGTTTGTCTATAGTTCGGGCCAAATTAAGGTATTCACCCTTTCTCAATTCCTAAAAAGTTATATTAGTGAACATATATTCTACCATTGTATACTGAATGCTCAAGTTCAAGATTCATGACTAATTCATGTCACTACTCATTAATTAGTGTGTGGACTTACTTATTACGGGGAGAAATCACTTTATTGGTATTTCAAATGCTAAATAATGACCAAATCAATCTTAATTCAAACTTATTTTATATGATATCTGATGGACCCAGTATTCAACCGACATCATATAACATATTACTTTTAATTGGGAATCAATTAGCCGCACTATATAACATATTACTTTTAATCGGGAATCAATTAGCCGCACCAAAAATGCGCGAAATACACCTATTTGCTTATCCTTTACAAGTAGAGCTACTAGCAAATACCAATGGTGTAGCATAGTTTGTTTTCTCTATATATGCATAAAGCATAACACCAAATCCACTTCCCCATGTTAAACCCACGTGGAAGAAGAAAGAAATGCCACCTTATGCTTTTATTTGATTGCTTGCTATTGTTTTCCACTTCTTTCAAGCAAATGAAACAAATACATGGAAGGAAATTTGTGGGTTAATGCCTTAATGGTAAGGGAAAATCTATTTTTACTCCCCCACCAATCAAGTAAACCCTCATGCTATCCTCCTCTCCCACACACTTAGTCTATTTCCACTTAACCCATGTGAAAAAGAGTGAGGCAACGTGGCAAATCATCCCATCCCACCTCTCATTGCATAGTTGAGTATTAACCCAACAAGTTTCCACCTCATGTCTCTCCATTTTCCACCTAGGAACGAAGCTGTGTCATTTACATGGTTGTATGGAGAGCTTACCGTCCATCATTCTATATACAGGAGACACATCATTCATTCCCCTTTATGTGTGATTAGATTTTATCAATTAGTTGGGTGATGGGTTGTGAAAATCTCATAGCCACACTTGGACAATGTTTAAGCACATTTGCCACCTCACTTTTTGGTGCACAGGCAACCAATGGGGTGGGGTGAATAATCCCCCAAGTGCCACCTCAATGCCACGTGTCCAAGGTGAACTGAAGAAGGGGTTGGGTTAACTCCCCATTACTCCACACCAACAAACAAATTGTATTAATTATGTGAGTGCAGTCAATTGCACTTAGTATATGACCCGACCATCCATTGCAATTTGCACCTAATAGGGTTGGTTGGGTGATTTTTTTCTATACTCGATCATCCATGCCACCAAGTGTTGGTGGAGAGTAAATGTATAATTATTATTTTATTACGAGCACGCCACTCATGTCAGAAGCAGGAGGCACCTATAAATAGGACGCTCATTTATACTTTCTCAGCAGTTCATTTTAGAGTTGAACTTCTAAAACTCTCTCTACAGCCGGCTCAAAACGCCGCTCCCGGTTACTCTCCTCTCAAATACTGACTTGAGCTTCGAAGCAGGTCCCCGTCAACCACTGGTCGACGGGTCCTTTTGTTTTGCAGGTGTCCACCTCGGAGGCTCGTGGTGGCGGACGTTGGCCAGGAGGAAGTCAGGCGCTCACCGGACCTCAAACACATTGAAGCAGGCTCCTCGGAGCTTGGCATCAACAATATCAGTATATATCAAACACTAAGTTAAACAACGTCATATTACAAACAATAATATGATGGTTCGAGTTGAATATAAATTATTGGAAACTTTCTATTTGTGTATATAAACAGTGGAGTATTATGTACAATGGATTAAACTTATATTTTAATATATAAAATCACTCATAATTCTCTAAATCTCAATTTAATTTAATTTCACTATAATCATTCATCAATACAACTAAGCAATTCGTTTTTCTAAAATATTTTGCCATGAGCATAAACTTAAGTTAATAAGAATTAGCCATTTATTAGAATCATATGTATAATGGATTAAATTTATGCTTCGATATCAATTAATCATTCATAATTATCTCATCTCAATTTAATTTTACTATAATTATTCATCAATACAACTAAGCAATTTATTCTTCTAAGATATTTCATCATTAACGTAAACACAAGTCAATAAGAATAAGTCATTTCTTAGAATCACAAAGAAGAATGAATTGCTCAAGCTACTGACTATGTGTGCTTGAAAAAATTTATTTAATAAAAAACTATATTAGTATCTCAAAAGTTAACGATTCTTGAAAAGTTTATTTCGTTCTCTAATAACATCAACGTTCATTTAAAACAAAAGTGATCTTCACCTCCAATTAACATATACATTTTTTGGAAAAATGTTCGTGCTAATTATCTAGTTAATATTTATATAATACTTTCCTTTTCTATACTTCCCTTTTCTATAAAATGTCTATTTTTTATCCAATTCTTTTTCAGATTTTTTTATATTGTCCAAAACTATCAAAATACTAAGAATTAACCAAATATTAACTTCCAATTAGCAATTTTGTTAATAATATTGACTTGACAACATGATACTGACTTAGAAGAGACTCATGAAGATCAATATTTCAAAATTTTAATATTTTAATTAAGAAAAGGTATGCAAAATTATTAACGATAACGTAAAAATGACTAATATTTTGATGCATTATGAAAGATTTGGATAATTAATAGAATTTTAATAGGTTTGAATAATATAAAAAAAATTTGAAAAAAATTTGAATAAAAAATAGTCATTACCCTAAAAAAACAAAATTCAAAACATTATCAAAATTCAAAAGAACAAAACAATAAATCTTTTCAATGTAGAAGAGACAATCCCCAACAATGACACAAATATTTAATCCGTCGTAGGACAAATTTCAAATATAACTCAATAGGTACAATACAAAGACTATTGAGTTAGTGTTC